CAGAAGTAATTAATAACATCAGTGATTTTTATCGACTGTATCTGACAGGGAGATTAAAAAATCGCGTATCGACAGTTCAGTGTACGGTCGACAACCCTTATCGGCGCACAGTTCTGAAAAGTCGAAATAGACGCGTAAACAACAAGAGGTAATATTTTTCGCAATAAGAATTTTAATTGCCAGATACGGCCAATAAAAATCACTGATGTTATTCATTACTTCTGGCGACTTTTAAGAATATAAGAATATTCTTAAAAGAATATACTTGAAAGAATAAGAACTAAATAATATTTTTAACTAGTAAGAACTAGTTAAAAGTATAAAACAAGATAATAACATAAAAGGTGCGTACGGGCAGCGTGCTTTTAGCGCTAAAAGCGTTTTCTACCTTTGCTCGACATGTAGCGAATGACAGATGCTTTCAGCGCTAATAGCGTCTCCCCTGAACGCAGTCAAAGTAAATGGCATTGGGTATTAGTAGTAGGCATTGGTGTACATAATTTTGGTCAACGGTTTACCCCTCGGCAAATTTAGACACGAGAGTTGTAAACAACTTGTATTTCTACAAGTGGTTTTTTAAATATTTTTACAATATTTTAAAGTTTGAATATATTTCTTTAAAAAAAATATATATATATGTATATAAGTAGAGCGTTTAGTTGAGACAAAGACTCCAGAATCGTTAATTTTGTAGTTGCAACAGTTCACTTTTTAGGAACGGAAATACATTGAAAAGTTTCTCGTTAATATTTCTCCTCGTGTTTTCCACAGCCTGGTGGTAGCCGTGGCGAGAGACCTTCAGAAGGATTTCTACGATCACTTCCCCGAGTTTCTGTCGGAGATAATCTGCCTGCTGCAAATGAAAGACGCCGAACAGATCGAGCATACGTTCACCACTCTGGCGTATCTGTTTAAATTTCTGTGGCGATATTTGACGAGGAACATAAGAACCGTGGTGCCTCTGTTGCTGCCGTTGCTGGCCGACACGCAGCCGGTCTACGTGAACAGGTTCGCCGCCGAAAGTTTCGCGTTTGTAGCTCGCAAGATCAGGGACAAAGAGTCCTTTCTGAAGTTGATTCTACGTATTCTGGAGGAAAGACACGAAAATGCTAAGGAAAATGGGATATCGGGCTGCGGGAAGTTGCTGTTCGAGATCGTGTCCGGTATTCCCGGGCAGTTCCATTCCTGCGGCGAGCAGATGTTGTTTCTCTACTTCAACGCTCTGCAAGACCAGTCCGTTGATGGAAACCTCACTTACCAAGTACTGCGGGAAGTCGTGACGTGCATATTGCAAAGTATTCACCCGCAAAAGTGCGACGTCGTGTGGAACGTTCTGTTGAAAGTAATGGACACGTTTGTCGAAAAGTCGAGGCAGCCGTTGGAATCCTCCGAGAAGAAGCACGCGTTGGTTCTGCTCCTGCGTCTCGTGCACATCATCGTCAGCTGCAAAGATGGAAGGTTCCTGGCCGACGCCGCGCCCTTGACGAGAAGATTCACCGCCATGATGGAGGCATTGAGCGAGGACGGCGATGTCCTGCGAGAAATCATCAACGTGTCTGTGGCGATTCTCTTGGCGTCCAGCGTCAAGCTGATGCAGGAGAATTCGAGTCAGCTGCTGCTGAAAATTATGACGGTGAACGACTCGGCACTGTTGTACTCCGCCGTTGAAAACTTAATACGTTACTCTTCGTTCGAAACCCTGGTGTTGCCTCACATATTGCGACGCAGCGCGTCTGCTGGATTCGACAGCGAGACGTTGTTGCTGCTTGCCAAGGTAATTCTCGCTAAAGCACCACCTTGCCTTAGCGGCATAACTTTGGACAAGTGGAAGAAGTACGTCCTAGACGTGCGGAACGTCGGGACTGGGAGCGTCGATTATCTCTTGCGAGAATTGAAGACGTTGTCCACCGATACAGTTTCGCTCGACGCGCTGAGAACGTTGATTGTTTTACCACATCTGAAGCCGTTACGCGAGGAATTTAAGGATACGCTGAGAGACGGCTTGTTATTTTTATATAAAAAGATATCGAAACCTGACGGCGCGGACGATGCTGCGGGTGTTGGCAAAACCGCTTTCGTATTTCTGCTTACGCTGGAATCGCTGGTGCACCTGTCGGAGCCGAGCGATCTCCACGAGTTTTTCCTGAAATCGGACGTAAGAATAATCGATCTCGTTAACAACGACAACATGTGTATCTTGAATGCGATAGATCTCTGCTTGACGTACTTCGCTGCGTCGCAGCATCACGCGAGCTACGTAAACTCAGCGTCGTTTGACAAACTGAACGATAATGTGGTAAAAAAATTCAATTCGCCTTACGGCAACGTTCGGCTGATCGTGGCGCATTTGTATTCCTTGTTTTCGAACGTCGAAGATCTGAAGGGGTCCTCGATGCAGGGCGATGGAAAAAGTGCCATGGAGCTGGTCTATTTGGTTGAGCGCGAGTCCGTGACGGTGCAAAACTACCGCGACAGGCTGTTGCGCCTGCAAGCTTTGGAGTTTCAGGGTCAGGCGATAGCCAGTCTAGATCCGAGGTATCGCGAGTTTCCATTGCGATGCTTGATGGGCAATCTGTACGTTAACTTTTCTCTGCTCTGGCAGCCCGTGAGCGCGATCATAGCTGGTTACGGCAACAAGGAGTGCCTGCAGTTCTGGCCGACATTCCTGGCCGAGTTAACGTCCGACGCTGTACTGGAGACTGAGCGGGGATCGTCGTTCGATTGCCACGTGGTCTCGTCGTTGGAGTCGCTGATCGTGAGGCACGACGACAAGCCCGACTTCGAGAATTACAAGGTCCTCCTCTGGAAATGCATGGCACAGTTCTCGCGTTACGCCGAGACGAAGAACCGAGACTTGACCGGATTGTTCGTCGATTTCGTAAACGCCAATTTCTTCAGGTCCAACTCTGACGAGGGCAAGTGCTTCGACGTCGTGAAGCGCGGAGAGTCGATCGGTAACGCGGATGACGCAAACGAGAGCGACGAGGAGCGTAACGAGAGCGCGAGAGTCGCGCAGGCGGACGCGACGAAGAGAAGTTACAAGGTAAAACTGTTGCTCGCCCAGCTAGAGATATTGGACAAGGTTCAGAATCCGAAGATGATGCACAAAGAGGCGGAGCTGCGTCAGATCTATCTGGACCTGATTTCTTCGAGAAACGCCGACGTACAGAGGGCCGCTATGAATTGCCTCTTCGCGTACAAGTACAAGTATCTCCTGCCGTACAAGGAGTCTCTGTACGGACTGATAAATGAGAAGAACTTCAAGAACGAGCTCACGCGCTTCAAACTGGATCGGGAGAGCAACATGATAGAGGAGGAGCATCGCGAGGATCTCATGCCAATCATCATGAGAATCATTTACGCTAAGATGATCACGAAGACCGGCATGAGGACCGGTGGGAAGGCCGGCGGGCTCGCACGGAGGAAGCTCATACTACGCTTTCTGGGCGGTGTGCAGGAAGACGAGATGATCGTATTCGTCAAGATGGCATTCAGACCGTTCAAGTACGTGTCGCTGGACGTGGACGAGGCGTTCGACCTGAGGAAATACGCCGGCGACATCGTCGACACCGTCGACCTGGGCAACGTCATGCCGCCCAAACGCGTGCAGAGCGCCGTCAACTTACTGGCGATAGTGATAGAGCAATTCGGCGGTAAGATGTCGACCAAGCTGTTGCCGCGGCTGCTGCGGATACTGATCTGCATCCTGGCCGAGGCGAACGGAATTCTGCGGAGATCCGGGGAGGTTCACCCGGGATACCTGTCGACGATCAAAAGCGTGAGGACGAGCTGCGTCGGCGTCCTGGCGAGATTCTTCACGCACTTTGAGGACTACGACTGGCGGCGGCACGAGATCGACGCGGTCTTTCACGTCGCGATATTTCCCCTGTTGCGGAAACTGCCTGTCGAGGGTATACACAGTCCCACGGCCCTGCTCAAGCTGTTCATGGCGTGGGGCCAGAACTCGCGGTACTATCCGTTGTTCGTCAAGCGTCAGGAGGACGACGAGTCGGTCACGCCTCTCCCTTACGTCTTGCAACTCCTGTCGAACCCCAAGAGCCATCAGTCCGTCATCAACGCCATTCTGGAGATGATCGAGAGGATGCTAACGCTGCAGGACTACGGACGGTCCAGCGGGGACGCGATGCAGGTGGACGACGCGCCGTTCTTACCGCTGGCGCCGATACTCGCCGACACGCTCGCGGTGGATGAGGAGGTACTTTCGAGCGGGATCAACTACGGCTCCGCCGTGCTGCTGCCGCACGTCCCTCACGTTCTGGGCTTCATCAGGGATAAGCTGAAAAGATCCAACAAGACCATAAACAGGACCGAGCTGGTTATACTCTCGCGAATCTCCGAATTCGTCACGGACGCCGAGACGTGCGACATGGTACTCAAGTTGATAATACCCGTCCTGATCAAGAAGGCTGCATCTGGCAGTAATGAGGTGGCCGTTATGGAATTGCTGACGACCGTCACGAACCTCGTGAAAATCGTAAACACGCCGGAGGCTCACCTGCGTTCGATCGCACCGCTGATGGGCCTCTTGTCGGACGTGCCCGCTCGCAAGAGTCTGTTGCGGCTCTTTCGTGCCATCGCCGAAAGGTCCGCGGAAGAGCGACGTGAGATGATGATTCGGGATTACGATATCTTAGCTGCGCTTAACGCGTGGGATCACCGCTGGATCGATCAACCGGACTTCCAGAGGAGGTTGGACGCTTTCAAGCTGATCGACGACATGGCTGGGAGGAACGCGATCGCGCTGGAATTTGGCGTAACTGTGATACACAATTGCTTTTACTTCCTCAAGACCGAGTCGGATCTCGCGATGCGAGACTGCTCCGGCCAGTGCCTGAAACTCGTCGCGGCGAAACTGGCGAGGGAGCACCGGGGTGACGCTCTCGACAGACGTTACGTGATGGACGACACTGTTCTGGCACTCGCGAAGAAGGGCATCGCGAGCAAGAACGAAGCCGTTCGTCTCCAGTCGATAGCGCTCTTGGGTCACATGGCCCTGGAATGCGCGGACGTGCATCCCGTCCTGCGAGACTTGTCCTTGCTTGCCAATCGAGACGACCCCGAGGTTGACTTCTTCGAGAACATGCAGCACCTGCAGCTGTACAGGCGAGCTCGCGCCCTACTCAAGTTCTGCACGCTCGCCAAGACACTGCGAAAGGCGTTTAATCCTAAGACACTGACGCAATTCATTCTCCCTCTCTGCTCGTCGTATTTATGCAGCGAGGCTTTCATTCACAAGAACAGCCTCGTCGACGCCGCCATCGAGACCGTCGGAGTGGTGTGCAGGTTGTTACCGTGGCACCACTACGAGATTATCCTGAAATATTACTTGGGCAAACTGAGGAGTTCCATAGAGTTCCAGAAGCAAGTCGTTAGGATTGTGGTAACGATACTGGACTCGTTTCACTACGATCTTACAAAGTACAAGCCAGTAGAGAAAATTACGAAAACCGAAGGAACCGAGGAGGATAATGCTGCTTTTGTCGCTGAGGTGGAAGGAACTAACGACGCGACTGGTCGAGACGAGACCGTCGAAAAGACGGAACAAGAGGACGAGGAGAAATTGGAGGAAGCGCTGAGCGATGAGAATGTCGAGGGTGTTGAGGAGATAATAGAAAAGGAAGCGGCAAAAGAAGATTTGCCGATAACTGAAAGGCAAACGCTACTATCTCAATACGGCGCGAGGAAAGTAGTGTTCAGTATATCGAACGGATTTCTGCCTCAACTGCATCGAGCTATTGCGGCAAGAACTCGGCAAGATAGCAGCCATAAGATCAACAAGAAGAAAATCGCCTCCGAGACCGAAGAGGACGATCTGCTGAGGGTTCCCATTGCTCTCGCGCTTGTTAAGTTACTGCAAAAGATGCCCGAGAATCTTCTGGATGCAAATCTACCAGGGTGAGTGATGTCCGAGATATTTTGTACGCTTAGTAATCCGAGATACTCCGAAATCTTGAAGTTTCAAGAAAAAAAAGGGAGGAAATTGTCTTGCGTAATTGTGTAATAGTTTTGCGTGTATATTTTTTGCAGAATTTTTATGAAGCTGTGTACGTTCCTCAAATCGCGTATGGAATCGGTTCGACGTACGACTCGCGAGACGCTACAGAAAATTATGATAACTTTAGGACCAAAGTATCTTCATCATCTTTTGAAGGAATTGAACACACTGTTGACAAGAGGCTTCCAAGTGCATGTTCTTGTCTATACAATACAGGCTGTATTGGTCGCATTGAAGCCTCATTACCAAAAACTTGATATTAATGAAAATCTGCAAAGCATTCTGTCTGTAAGTATTATATTATTTGAAATGTTTGGTCGAACAAACTTTGTTAAATTCTAATAATTGCATCGATGAAAAATATATTAGCATAATATTTTTAACTAGTAAGAATTTTCTTAAAAGTTGCCAGAAGTAATTAATAACATCAGTGATCTTTATTGACCGTATCTGGCAATTAAAATTCTTATTGCGAAAAATATCCTGGCTGGGGTAAGATTTTTCGCAATAAGAATTTTAATTGCCAGATACGGTCAATAAA